CTCTAGATTTATCAATCATGTCTTGCACTATGAGCACAATCTCTGCTGTTATCTGAGAAATTATTTCTGATTTCATTTTTTCCAGATTCTCTTTTTGTTGCCAGTTCAGGGAGTCCAGGCGGTTGAATATTAGAGTGTTCCATCTCATTTCCCTTTGGGGTTGCTTTAGGTGATCTCGAAGTTTGGTTTTGAGAGTTATTTATGTGTCTTCTCGTTTCACCGGGGTGGGGAGGTTGCTGTTGGCACCCATGCAGCTCACCTCTTCTGGGCTGGGAGTGGTGGAACAGTGGCCCAGAGGCCCCTACCTCTATGCTGGGAGCAGTGGTACGGTTACCTGGAGGCCCCTACCTCTGTGTGGGGAGCAGTGGTGCAGCGGCCCAGAAGCTTGTTCCTCTGCTCTGGGAGTGATGGAATGGTGGCCCAGAAGCCCCTTCCTCTGGGCTGGGAGCAGTGGAACAGCGGCCCAGAAGCCCCTTCCTCTGAGCTGGGAGTGATGGAACGGCAGCCAGGATGCCCATTCCTCTGCCTCAGTCTTTACTTTTCATTGAATGAGTAAATGAAGGAGAAAATAAGATTGCTCAGAGGTGCCTCTAGAATTCCAGATTAAACTCTGCTTGATACTTTCCTAGTCCAAGCTGTAATCTTTTGAAAGCCTAAGAGAGGAATACATCTGTCAGAGTACAGATTATGATTTGACTTTTCTCACTCAGTAGTTTGTGGAAGCTTATTTTCCAAAGGAAAATGTTTTCCTCTCTGTCATCTACTATATTTCTATATGGTAGAGAGTAAGTGCTGAGTTTAAAAACAGTTTTGTTAGTGCATAAAAATTAGGTCTGTTAAATGAATAGTGAAAAGAAGATCTACATAAAGTCATTAGTTTATTTTTAAGACCAACTTGTGTTTTCATACCATTTATTGCCTTCTTGGGATGTGGTAAGTGCTTTCCTCTGAGTCTCCATAGTAACCCTGTGAGAAGGACCTAGAAATGCAGGGTTGGTGATCTAGCAGCTGGAATGTGTCTGAGTCCTCAGATCAGAATGTAGACAGTCGCCATGGAGCTGTGCCACCCACTTAGGCTTCAGATTAAGATTTGTTGCAGTGACATTTTGAATAGACTTGATCATATCTGAAAAGTTAAAAATTTACCATTGAACATAAAAGTAAAGGTTAACCTCCTACGCTTGCCTGTGGTTAATACATTTGAAACAAAATGAATTTTTCCTGCCTCTTCTTCATAGACATTTGCCAGAGAATATGTGTGGATTGAAAAAGCTAAAAATATTATATATATATGTCACAATTAGTATGCAACTTATTACAAGAACAATCAGTTTCCTTATTTGGTTGATTAGTTTTTGTTTGTTTTTGCAGTGCTGGGGGTTGAACCTAGGCCTTTCCACTGAGCTGTATCCCCAGACCTTTTTCATTTTTATTATGTTGAGCTAGGCTTGCTTGCTACATTGCCCAGGGTGGGCTTGAACTTTTGATCCCCCTGCCTTAGCCTCCATGTAAGTTGTCCGCAGACTGCTGTGATTAGAGATATGCGCCACCAACACCCAACTGAACATCCAAATTTTTATTACCTACCTTCAGCCCACCTCTAGAAAGAGAGATAGGAAGCTGCAGTTCAGTGTTGCGCATAGCAAGCTTACTATGCTTACAGTTTCTGCTGCCAGTTAGTTTTTAGTTCAAATGTATAGAATTTGTTGAGGCAAAACTGAAATTTTGCAGTGTTCTGGAAAATTGCAACAACATGTCCAGATTCTAGAAAAGAGAGTCTTTGTTTTGTGGTAAGAATAATGGCAGTTATCTTTGAAGTCTCAAAGGTAAATTGATGCTACAAGTATTTTAATGAAATTTTACCAGAGTATACCAGTCTTAAAAGGTCAGAATTCTTCTGGATCTGAAATGATTCTTTGACAGTCAACAAATATGTTTAAAATGGGTCAACTAGAAATGTAGCTGTTCAACCCAGATTGCATCCTTGGCTCCTCTTAATGCCATACCTGTTTAAAGGTGTTGTTGGGTTGTGAGTTTTCTGGATTACTCTAAAATATGTTCATCTAGGTGTTTTTCATTCATTCTGCGTTTATTAAAGTCCTATAGTATACCAAGAATTTGGAGAAATGATGTTGATTAGAACATTCATTATCTACTAACATGTAGGTTAGGTTTGCAGGGGAAAATGGACACACAGATAAATAATTAAAATATATTACCAGAGGAATGATGGGGTGATGTAGGAGCAGAGCCATTAGTTACCTATTGCTGCATAACAAGTTACTACCTCGTAGCTTAATACCCACAGAGTTGATGATTTTCTTTTGATAAAGAGCCAGGTGTAATTTTTATTTATTTATTTATTTATTTTGAGACAGTTCTGGCCAGGCTTGAACTCACTATGTAGCCCAGACTGGCCTCAAACTCCTGGCAATCTTCCTCCCTCAGCCTCCCTACTTCTGGGCTTATAGGCTTGCACCACCATGCCCCGCCGAGGTGTTAATATTTTAGACAAGTTATACACCCTATGTCAAGCTACATAGTCTTACGTCACAGCTGCTCAGCTCTGCTGTCAAACGATTGCAGTCGGCACAAACACCTCACAGAGTGAGGGTAGCCATGTTTGTTGTAATAAAACTTTATTTACAGAAATAAACAGTGACCCACAATTGGCTTGTCAGGACTGATTTGCTGGCTGTAGGCTTAAAACAACAAACTTGCATTACTCCAGTTTCTGTGCATTAGGAGTCCAGGCACAGCCGACCAAGGTGCCTTGGGTTCAGGGTCTTTTCAAGATTCTGTTGCCCATTCTTAAGGTTCAGATGGTGTCGGTGACCAAAGAGAGACCAGGACGAAGCCAGATTCCAAGCCCGACCTCTCATCACTTTGTCCTTCTGTCTTCACACTCCCCTGCCACACTCGGGGGTTACACACGGGTGGGAGTTCTGGAGAAGAGTGTCCTTATGGCTGACCATCACCCAGGTGGACACATAACTGAGCTCAGCCCGGGGTCCCCAAAGAGGTGAAGCCAGGGACCTTCAGGCTGAGCCTATACCCAGAACAAGGGTGTCACCTCGGTGTGTCGCTGTCTACTTGTGAAGTCCTCCCTCTGAGTCTCTGTACTTGGAACCTATTTTTCAGTCTCTGAATCATATCCTGTTGCCAGCCAGTCTCACAGAGTCCACTTGTACCACACCTGCCCCAGTGTTGCCCCCTGCCCGAGTCCTCCTGATCCCACCCTCCACTTCCCTCTTTGCTGTTGAGCTTCGAAGACATTCTGAATAAACGTGGAGGATCCAGGAAGGACACTGACCTATGCAGAGCTATGAGCACTCTTGTTTAACTTGATTGGTCCCCTGAGGAAGGGCTGAGGCTGGCAGCTCCAGCCCTCTTCCCATCCTGCACACCCGCCCTGCCCAGCACTTGTGCTGTCTGTTTCTCCACATAGTCTAGGTGTCGTCACCTCTTGGCTCCCTGTGAGGTGTCCACAGGCAAAGCTGTGCACTGATGACTTGTATGGGTTGTTGTGGGCCTTTCCCCTCCGGTCCCTTCACAGTGACTTTGATGTACAAGATACTCAGTGAAAGTTTACAAGTAGATGAAGACTTTGACAGCTTAGTATCAACCTTGCAGTCCCCATCTTGCCTTGTATCAGCACAGCCCATTGGATCCTGTGGCTTTGTGTCACCATTCTCTGTTAGGCTGTATTTTCCTGGGATCCCACCTTGCTCCTGCCCTCCAAGTATCTGATCTGACACTCTTGCTCTGGCCCCAGTCTGCCACCTCTTGACTGTGTTCACTGCCTACATACCTTGGGGCCTGAGTTCTCCATGGTGGTGGAGAGCCTGGGGGCCAGCACTGTACTGTCAGGGGCAAGGAGAGGGGTCACCTCCACTGCCAGCATAGGAGGAAGAGCTACTTCCAACCCTAGAACCTCATCATGACTTGGGCTTTCCCTGTACTTCTCCCTGAAACTTGAGAGAGTAATAATTCCATCTTAAAGTTTGCTCCTACCTTCATCTCCCCCACACTACCTTTTCTTAGTTTCCCTACAAGTGGCTACCTCTTTTTCAGTTTTTCCTTTGTCTCTCTTCAGTATTTCCTGAGTTTCAATAGACATGGCCTCAGATCCACCTCTGTCACGGTGACAGTCCAACCCATGCCAGGAGTCACTTCCGTCTCTCATTAATGACTTGCCCAGTTTAAACTAGTGGGTGTTCTGTTAACTGTTATGAATGAATGAAAGCAGTATATTGTATTATTTATTGGACAGAGGAATCAAAATAGAGTGTCTGGACTTTTCTAAACTAAATGGCTTAGAAAGTAATAGATTGTAATGAAAATGGAGAAATAAAAACAAGATTGTGGGCTGGCCATAATGGTGCACAGCTGTAATCCCACAACTCAAGAGGCCGAGGCAGGAGGAGCACCACAAGTTCAAGGCCAACCTGGGCTGCATAGTGAGTTCAAGGCCAGTCTGAATGATGTAACAGTACCCTGTCTCAAAAAAACCAAAAAACAAGATTGTGTAGGGCTGGGATACAGCTCAGTGGTAAAGCACATGCTTCATTGTGTGTGTGTGTGTGTGTGTGTGTGTGTCCATGTTCAGTCCCCAGCATTCAGAAACAAGTCTGATTCTGCCTCTTTCCATACACACACCCAGTCAGGGACCTGGTTATCTAGTTGAAGAAGGTCAGGGCATGTTTTGATGGTTTTTTTTGTTTTTGCTTTCCAATGTGGAGATAATTTTTAGTTACATTTGTTTTTGAGGATAAAAATGACAGTAAATACTTTTGTAGAGATTTAAAAGGGGGGGCAAGGGTTTAGCTCAGTGGTTTCGTCGCCTGCTGCGCAAGCGCAAGGACCTGAGTTCGATCCCTGGTACCAAAAAAGAAAAAACCAGGACGCTACTTTGCTCTTACCTGCCTAGAGCAGTACTGATGGGTTTGGTGAGCTCCCAAACCAACTGCAGTTAGCAAGAACTACTGCTGTCATCTGTGCAACGGATGTTGGTTTCTGCTGCGTGTTGCTGTGTGCTAAGTGTTGCTATCTGTCTTTGCAGCTATTGAAAGGAAGGTGTTGTCACCTTGAGATGAAATGCTGGGTTTTATTGTTGGAATTCTAGTTGCTTGGAGGTGGTAAGAATGAAGAAATGACCGTGTTATAGTAAAGAAGAATGAAGGAGAAACGTACCCCAGCTTGTGTTCAGAGTCCTCCTTTGTCCTGTTTCAGCCATGCTGGTGTGGGAAGAAGGATGAACAGGGTTGTTTCCAAAAAGCTGCTTCTCTCTGAATGAAGCTAGCACGTCTTTCAGAGATATATACATATAAAGAAAGGAGACAAAGACTGATTGGAATAGTCGGTATTACTATGTTTGTTTGCTGTTTCTTTTTTTCTTGGTATCAGGGATCGAACTCTGGACCTTGCACTTGAGAGGTAGACAGTGGAACCACTGAGCTAAATCCCTGGCCTGCTGTTTCATTTTTTTTTTTAATTACTTGCATGAACTTGTTTAGCATATTGGGAAGTGGGGCTTTGAAATGGGGACTTTCTGAACCCCATTTTCCTCCAAATGTAAATGAGAGGTTGGTCCACTCAGAAGCTTTTAAAAAGAGTTGCCCTCCCTGGGGACTGTGGTATATGAAACAAAACCACTGTTGTTCTGTGGAAGTGATATGAGAAGGGAGGGGCTGTGTGGCCAAACATAGAGCCTTGGGTCTTTGTCCTAGTCCCCTTTCCCCTGTCCGGTTCAACTGTCAAGGAACCTGAGCACAGGAGAGGGTCCTTTGGAGACCAGTGGAGGACAGTCCATCCCCAGGAAGAGGCTGAGATTTTTGCATTGCTGTTCAGAATGTATGGTGGTGTTGTGCATCACTGTGAGAAAGAGACGCTTAGAGCATCAGGATAGGGCAGGTGGAATTAGCTTCAGAATGTTCAGTAGAGCTGGAAGTGTAGCTTCAGTGGGAGGGTGTGTGTTTTGCATGCACGTAGCCCTGGGTTTCATCCCCCACACTAAAAAGAAAAAATATTACAGTTGAGGACTAGATAGCACAAATTGACCATGGTTTGATAACTGATATGTAATGACTCAGTAGGATTCATTACACTAGTTTAATAAGGTTGAATTCTTCAATGAAAATTTTGGAATGTGTGTGATGATGAATGGTGTGGTTTTAACTTCCCCTCCTATGTAAGTGTCACATTACAACAGTTTGTTATTGGGTCTCATCAGTTTGTACTTGACAGTAGTCAAGTACAGAGCACACCTCCTGTGCATGTCCTGCACATATGAGCCCAACCGGGCTGATGCAGATTGGAAGAAGGAAGCTGTGGAGAAATAGGACCTTTTACTTTAATTCAGGATGTCTACCTATGGTAATTATTAAGATTTTTCACATTTTGTGCTGAAAAAGAAAAATGTTCCCTAACATTGTTAGAAAGTGAAACTTCTTATAAGGAGTGAGAGAGAGATTGGATTGAGAAACATGAACATCTCCTTTCCTCCCTCCATGGGGTAGAGATGGACTTGTTTCATTAGCAGGACAATTTATTTCTAAAATAGGGACATGGCTTACAGAAAGTGGTGCTTTTAAGTGGCCCTAAAGAGACTGGGTCTTGTGTCCTGTGTCACCTCTTAGTGACTTTCACAAATCATTTATTTTTGGGAGCCTGAGTTTCTCCGTTTGCCAACTGAATATGATTTATAAAAAGAGAAAGTATTTTGTTATTAACAGATTTAGAGCTTACTCGAGAGGATTTATAGTGTTTTATTGTAAATATCAAATGACTGGAAGCTTTCCTTTTTTTTTTCCTTTGGTACTGGGGATCAAATTCAGGACCTTGCACTGCTTGTCAAGCAGGTGCCAGCACCACTGAGCTAAATTCCCAGCCCAAAGCTTTCCAATTTTACAATGTATTTAGGAAACCACATTTGCTTGAAAAGCAGAAAGTGAATTGCTATTTGCTTCCCGAGTACCTTGTGGCAGTGATTGCACTTGTGGGATTCAGCACTCTTCTCTCCCTTGAAAGATGTGTGTGGAAGCTAAGTTCTAGAGCCGCAGACATGGAGGAGCAAGGCAACTCTGGGTTAAGCAGAACATCCTTGATGGAAAGGGAGGGAGGACTCTGGCTAGGCAGGGCCTGACTTTTGGCACAAAAGGTTCTTAGGGCCCAGTGAATGGTGAATGAGATGGAGAAAAGCCTCCAGGTCTTTCTCTGCCTCCTTGGCTTTGCAAATAAAAGAGAGAAAGCAGATACCAAAGCACAGTTGGAACAGTGGCCTGCCTTTGCTTCTGCAGGGCTGTGCTGGAACCCTGGCCTTGGGGCTCAGAATATTGGTTACTGACTGGAGCATGCTGCCTACATTTAGATGAAAACAGTAAACAAAAAGGAAAGTAAATTGACCTTTGAAAGTCTGTTTATACAAGCAGTTTCCTTTGAGGCAATCTATACCTGCACAGCAAGCAAGAATGCTTATCGATTTCTGGATGAGAAAACATTGACATTGCCTTATGAGCCTTTGTCATACTGTTTTTCTAATTGTATTTGTGCTCAGGTAATAAACTGTACCAGCTGATCTCCTCTCCTTGCTCCCTTCTACTCTGGAAGCATCTATGAGTCCCCTGTAACAATCATATGTTTTTTCAAGACACCTGTGGAAAGTTCTAGCTGTTCCCTGTTGAGCTGCTTCTTGTTTTACTTCACTTTGCCAGTATCTTCACTCTCACTGATTAGGTTTGGTAGGGTTGTTTAATTTATCCTTGTAACACAGAATTATTTCCTGTATTTCAGTTTTATCCAAAAGGATGAAATTGAACTTTCTTTGGAATATGCATGTGGTCATTTGATAACTTAGAATATAGCCACTGCAGTGAGTGACCACTGCTTTTAAATAGTGTAGAATCAGTCACTGGATATACTCAACATAGATACCATTGTTGGAGATGGAGCTGCACATTTAATTATATTTGGTCTACTGCTCTCATTTATTTGAGCCCACTGCAGTGCTTCCTGTTTGACTTTGCTAATAGAGCCTAACCTCTCTGAAAACTTATGTTCTTCTTTCTATTTTCCCAACCTAGTAATTTTGCTTTGTGCCAAGGTAGTTTTGATTACATTCTTGCTTTCTCACTTATGAACTGCTGTGAAAGAGATTTGTTTGTCTTATAATTCACTGATGGATGCTTTTTCAAGATTTGGATTAAAGGACTACATAGGTTCAGAGTCACTGAGATGCAGATTGAGCTGTGGTGCCTGGTGACACCTCTGTTTGCAAAAGGGATTAGGGCAGGAAGTTCCCTAGCCCTGTAGTCAAGAAGGCTGAAGTTCCCTTTACATTCTTTAAGTCTTTGGGCGGGCGCTGCTGAGGAGAGCAGAGTCATCTATCTGCCTGTGTGAGTCCTATGGCCCTCCCTGTCCTTTTCTTTGGCTCTCCATGCAAGCTGTTCTGGCAAGCAGGCTGCACTCTGGAGGGTGTGACTCAGGTAGGGGGGGTGGGGGGGTGGAGCAGAGGCTAGGATCTGGGGAGAACCTGCTGAGCTGTGGAGCCCCTTCCCTTCAGGTCAGGTCTCCTGCCAGGTATGCAGAGAAGGCAGGAGGATCGTATGGCTGGCCTCTGCTGTTAGCAGCTGCCTTCCACACATTCATTTTTAGCTCATGTTAATTCATTATGCCACTGTTTAATTTGATTTTATATCTTTAGGAGGTGAGGGGAGAGGTAGATGATGGGAAAGGAGAGGAGCTAATGAGCTAACATGTCTCCTAACAGCTCATTTTCTAACAGGAATTGTTCAGCCCACCATTGCATTGCATTGTAGATTTTGCCTGATGCCCCAAGAAAATACAAAGCTGGTGTGGCACATTGCCCGAGAGTGTGCAGGAGGCTGCACCTTCTGACTTGGCACCTCAAAGAGATGCCCTGCACCAGTGTGAGTAGAGGGCAAGATCTTTTGCCCCACAGACACTCAGACAGTGAAGAACTATAGATGGCAGGCTGCTACCAAGTTACATTCAGGAAGAGCTGGGAAGAAAAACAGGAATGGCCATGAAGGTAGCTGGCACTCAGAGAGACAGCACAGAGTACCCCCAATCAAGGTGTTGGCCAAGACAGTCCCTGAGAAGCCTGCAGGTCCCCAGCCCTTCCTGCTGCTACACCCTGGGACCCCTTACCCTCCTGCATCTAGACCTGGGTCTCCTGTCCCTCCTGTTCTCCACTTGCTTCTGAGGCCGGACCCAGGCTGTGTCCTTATTTGCCTCTTTGCTGGGGCAACACCAGTATAAAATACTGCAGAACCCAGATTGACCCCCAACACCTAGCAGGACAAGGAGTGCTGTCTGGAAGGGGTCCCCAGTCTGTCTTAGGGACTGTTCATTCCCCTGTCCCTATCTGGCAGAACCCATCACTGCCAAGGGACCCACAGTCCCAGACACTGTCCTTCAGAACCACCCACGACAGGTGGCAGGGGGCTGCTTTGGGAGCTTTGCCTGAGCCCAGCTAGCTTCGCTCTGGCATTTCCCCATGACTGGGGATGCTCTGGGCTGGTGGAGTTCACCTGTATGCAGCAGTGTCCTTTTGCCCCAACGCCAGGTCCTCCATGTGATGCACAGTGAGTAGCAGCACGTGAGGCCTGGACTCCCAGAGAAGGAGCCCAGAGAATGCAGGGCAGGTTTCAGACAGCAGAAAGCTCAGGAGAAAGGGGCCGCAAAATAGTCCAGAGAACTGGAAGTCCTGAGATGGCAGTGCAGGTCATCACTGCTGAGAACATTCTGAAGTCACCTTGCAGCAAACCTGTTTCCATTGAGCAACATGTACACGTACCTGTACTTAGAAGCAGGGGGACCGAAACATTGATGTGCCTGTCGCTGGCTAGTAGCAATATGAGTGCTACTTCTCTGCCTGGTACACATTTCATACAATAAGTTGTGTCACTGTTATCAAGTGGTTCCTTTAGAAATGGCTAATCAATCGAAAGTATTCCAGGTCCTTCTTGCCTCAAACAAAGAATTGAATGAGACAAAACAAAAACAGTGCCAAACACTTATTTGAAAAGTGCAGGGTAAATGGTTATAGGAGAAAGCAACTCTGCAGAGTGAGCTTGGGCCAGAGATAAAGAGAATAAAAGCAAAAATGAAAGTACATGCCCTGTCTGAGAAATGCAGCATGAGATGTCCTTTCGTTGCCCTTGGATCTTGTGACTGACAGGTCCTGGCTCACTTTCCCAGGCAGCTTTGCCCTGCCTTATCTCCTACAATATCACTGTGGGTGATGGCAACACCAAATTCAGCTACCAGAAGTGATGAATGGGCTGAGGATCCTGTCCCCACATCCACACGTCCACAGGTGGGTGTGCAGTACAAT